CAAGTATGTGTCTGGGACATGGGAGTTTCCTTTTCTCTCTTCTCCTTTGTAGAACTGAGCTAAAGGAAAGCTTCCATTTAATCCTCCTAGGCTTGAAGGAGCTCTTGGAATGTCATCCTGAGAGCCACAGGGCCTGGAGAAAGGGCTGATGTACATGCCCTGGAAATGCCATCATTGGCTGCAGTGAGGCAGGGCAGGAACTATCCTTGCTTCTGAGTTGTGACTAAGCACCTGTCAGGATATTAGGGGCAGAAGCCCCACTGTAACCCTTCTGATTGACAGGCCAGAGCAGAGTGAGCCTGTGGCCTCTGACTCTCAGTGTAGAGTCTGCAGGAGACTGGCTGCTAGGGTGGCTGGAAACAGTGTCTCTGTTCCAGAGCATTCGTGAAGAAAAGGAGAGGGGGAGGAAGCAAATGCAAACATGACCCCCGCCCCATGGGAAGCCAGCGTGGAGATGATTTATGTGCAGGCTTTGGGAACATGAAAAATATGTGCCATTGATTTCAAGAATTATGTTTGGTAAACCTCTGGATATTTTCAAAGGTGGAAAGGCTGCCCAGATAAGGAGAGTAGAAATGGATATTGTAGAATTAGAAAGGGATTTAAGCAGTCCCACGGATCCGCTCTGCACAACACGGCAGTCCCTCCCTGGCTCCCCAGCAAGTGGCCGTCGGCCTGGACTCGGTCAGCAGCTCAGCTGGCCCCACCCTGTCCAGCTCTTCTTCCCCAAGGCAGGCAAAGCCATCTCCCTATTGTGACAGCCCTAGACACCTTGTTCCCATGTGCCTAGGTGCATCTGGATGGGGTCCCCTCCTCTTGCTGCCCTTCCCATGGACCGGGCACAGTGCTGGGCTCTGAGGGTGCTATTAGGGCCCCTGGGGAACAAAAATGTCCAGGATCCCTTCCAGCCTGGGGCATCAGACCTGACTGTGGCTGCTGCTTTTTCCTTGTGGGATCTGCTTCAAGTGCTTCACTTTCCTGGCCTTCAAGGCTCCCAGGATGAGCCTGTGGCTGTATGGTCCTGGTACCAGGACTGGGGCACGTGGCCGTTATGTTGCCACCCTCTTTCTAGTAGCTAAGCCCCACTGCTGACGCATTCAATTACAGCCAACTCTTCTTTCCATCTCCTTGTGTTACTCTGTCTCTTCCCTGGTGGGTCCTGGTAGACCTCAACTCCAGGACAGTACACGGCTCTGACAACCATTATTGTATAGCCCAGGACCCTAATGTTTAAAGACCTTCACTGGATTTGTTATACATGGTCCTCCCAAACATCCATCAGCATTGAGTCAGTGTCTTTTGGTAGCTGGCAACACCCTGGCACCCTTCAGAGAGGCCCTTCAGGGTCCAAGTGATCTGTTCCTCCAGTTCTCCAAAGCCTAGACCAGCCATTTAGGGGTAGCTCCTCCCCTTGACATTTCCCAGCCATGCTTACCCATCTCATCTGCATGGGTGGCATAAGTTGTCAGCCAGGCACCAGTGGCTCTCACCTGTAATCCCAGCTACTCGGGGGACTGAAATCTGAGGATCATGGTTCAAATCCAGTCTTAGACAAGAAAATCTGTGAGACTCTTATCTCCAGTCAACCACCAAAAGCTGGAGAAAGAGCTGTGGGTTTAATGGTAATGTGTTAGCCTTGAGTAAAAAAGTTATTGAACAGTGTCCAAACCTGAGTTAAAGCCCCAGTAACAGTCACCCCTCTCCCCAAAATAATTACTGAGCCAGATGCCGGTGGCTCACACCTATAATCCTAGCTACTCAGGAAACTGAGATCTGAGGATCACTGTTCAAAGCCAGCCCAGGCAGGAAAGTCCATGAGATGCTAATCTCCAATAAACCACCAGAAGACTGGAAGTGGTGCTGTGGTTCAAGTGGTAGAGCGCTCACCTTGAACTGAAGAGCTGAGGGACAGCGCCCAGGCCCAGAGTTCAAGCCCCACAACCGACAAAAATAAATGTACCAAATGCTTTGCTATAATCTGTGATACACTAGATTTCTTAAGTTTTAAATATTGAATTTTGGTTCGTTTTTGTCAGCAGGTCACTGCTTTATTAGCAAATGCAGACTGACTCTGGCTGTTACTTCTTTTCTTCTGAGCCCTGGTGGCAGCCGGGAACCGGGCATCTCCTGTGAAGCCAGTGACCTTGGTTGGGGTTTTTGGGTTTTTTTTTTTCCTCTGAGGGTGTTTGTTTTTGTTTTTGTTTTGTTGGTTGTGGGGCTTGAACTCAGGCCTGTGTGTTGTCCCTGTGCCCTGTTGCTCAAGGCTAGTTTTCTACCACTTTGAGCCACAGCTCAGTTTTCTGAGTAGTTAATTGGAGATGAGTCCCACAGGGATTTTTCTGCCTGGCTGGCTTCAAACTGCGAGCCTTAGATCTCAGTCTCCTGAGTAGCTGTGGTTGCAGGACTGAGCCACCAAGCACTTGGCCTTCGGGTTTGAGGAACACCTGGCCTGCTGCCCCACTATGAGCTCCGAGGGGTCCCATGTCCGTGGCCTTGCCACGCAGCAGCTTGTGGTCAGGATTGTGTACAAGCTGTTCCTGGCCAGTCCCTCTGCTGTGCCAGCCCTGGCAGAGTACACCGGCCCTGGCATCCCGAGACCCACCTCCAGTTGCCTCCTGTGAACCGAGGTGGGAAAGGTGTGTCTGTAATAACATCACTCCTATTTTCTCCCACGCAGCCACCTAAGTTCTTATGGGAAGAAACTACTGTAAGGCCCACCAGACGTATGCCCAAGACAGACTGACACCCCAGTGTCAGCCAGCCGCTCCCCTGTCTAAGAGGACTCCACAGTGGAAGGAGGCCTCGAGCACAGCGGCTATGCACCCTGCCCCTGCTCCCCAGTCTCGGCAGCTAGGACAGGCCCCCTAAAAACTGAGGCCATCAGTCTGTACTCCCTGTCCATGTGTTTTATTAAGTTACATATCCTGCTTCACGTGGGATGATATGGATCCATCTGCATGGTTTGTATCTATCTGTACACCAAATGTACTGTGGTCGGGATCCAACAGCACAAGGCAGCAGTTTAGGGTGACTGAGTCCCACCTGGGTGATGTCAGTCAGCAAGCTCAGCCTCCTGAGGGATGTCAGCAAGCTCCACCCCCAGAGCATTTGCTTCCTCATTGGAAGAGATTGCAATACTGAGTGCCAGGCCTGGGTCAGCAAGGCTCAGAAGCCACAGTGTTCCAGGCCTTTGCACACACATGGGTGCTCTGATGTCACTAGGGTGGCAGAACATGTGACATATAAGGTCATGTAGGGCTCTGTCTTCTTTCTGGGAACAGGTGCCATGTACTGTCCCAGCACCTGGCCCCTTCTCTTAGGGGCCGTTCATAGCACGGGTGTGTCAGAGCCAAGTGGCCCCACTCCGGGAGCTTCCATAGAGAAAGGTGGCTCCATACCACTGTGAGGGCCAGGCAGGCCCGTGGGTGCTTGCTCTCCTCTCTCTGCTTTTTTCCCTGAAGTCCATTGTGGGCAGAGCTTAACCTGAGCCATGTGACTTACCTTGCCAATCAGAGTGTGACCTGGGTTTCTTCCCGTCTCTTCCCTCCCTCCGTCCTGCCCTTCTCTTCCCACACCTGGGCCCCCACTTCTCTAGAACTGAATGAAGCCTGGCCGGTAGTGGTAGACGCCAGGCAAGCCCGACAGTGAGAATCCCAGGGGGAAATGAGGATGCCATTTCCCCAGGAGCCCACGTACCCAGGCTTCTCTTCTGTTTCTGCTCACTCTGTTTCTCCTGAACATCACCCTCCTTGGGGCAAGGCCTCCACCCCTGCAGGGGCTGCTGGACAGGCAGCCCATGGCTGACCTTGGCTTAGTCCTAGTGGAGAAGCCGGAGCCATCTCAGCAGCCCGCCTCACTGCGAAGCGCTCATGTATGAGGGCCACAGAGTCTTCTCTAATGTAGGATTCCAAGAGAATCCATGCTGTTTATCTGTGGATGACTTTGGGGTGGAGAGAGGTTACTGTAATTGAAATTAGGGTCTTAGGTGCTTGCTAGGCAGGTGCTGTACCACTTGAACCATATCTCAAGTCCTCTTTTTGCTCTGATTATCTTTGAGATAGGGTCACACCTGGACTGTTAAATTCTACTTTTCATTTACACTTCCTCCTGTAGCTGGAACAAAAGATGTGTGCCTCCACCCATGCCCAGCTTCTATCTCTATGGAGATGGGGGTCTTAGGAACCTTCTTGCTTGGCGTGGAACCACAACCCTCCCAGGATGGCTCACCCAGCAGCTGGTCAGGACAGAGTCTCATGAAGATTTTTCCTGGGCTAGCCTCACACTGCAACCCTCCTGATTTCAACCTCCCAGGCAGCTAGGATTTCAGGCCCGAGTGCCCACCTTTCTCATGCCTAGGGACGACCTAGAGACCCTGTGGGTTGAGGATGCAGTAAAGGAGCTACGACCCTGGAGCCCCCGGTTCCCTGTTCGAGGCCTTTCCCTTGTGTCTCGTTAGAATCAAGCAGACTGTGAGCTTCAGTCAGCCCCGAGAGGCAAACAAGAGTGACCCCACGTGTCCTCCTCCCACCGACTCAGTCCACCATGCCTTGCAGAGGGCTCCACACCCCTGTGGTCACCCTGCACACCCACCCTGGGCCCCTCCTCTACCTGCCAGCTCCAAAGCTACATTTTCCTCTGCCTAGACTTCCCATGATGATTTGCTGCTGTCTTCCTCCAGGTGTACCCTGTCCCCTCCCAGTTGAGTGTCACCTTCTGCCTGCTCTCAGCCTCAGGGTGGCTCCCATCCCTTGTGGCCTGGAGGCCAGATGCCTCCAGATGTTTCCAAGGCCTTTCTCTGCACATCTGCCTGCTGCTCGGGGGATAGCAAGGGGTCTGCCTGCGTCAGGCTGTGGTCCCTGGGATCAGGCCCGGCCCTGTCACCTGCACTGGGTGTCACCTGGCTCCAGCCAGGGGCCCAGTGGTGCTCTCTGGGTGGACATCTGAGGTTCCTCAACATCTGTGACGTCTTTAATGCCTTTGTGTCTCCTTTCTTCTTGCAGCAATGGATGGCGTGCCTTTTATGATTTCAGAGAAGTTCTCCTGTGTTCCTGAAAATGTAAGTTATGTGCACAATTCCCCTTTCCCTGCCTGGAATGTTCTGGAAATCGTTTCTTCCTGTGTGTCCTCTCTCCTCCTGAAAGCCACCCCCACTCCTACCCTCAAAAACCTCTGAGGACTGTTGGGAGCCAGGGGTGGACTTGCTCATCCGGGGCGCTGTCAGCCGGTGCCTGCGTCTAGCGGGCGTCTGAGCAGGTGAGGCCTGGGAACACAAAGGCTCCCTTGCCACAGCCACACCTTTCCTTGGAGCGTAACAGGAAATTGGTCTTCCTCAGGTGTGTTGGTCCTGTTGGCCAAGTTCAGCCTCGTAACTTGCTTTTTTTTATATTTAAGGATGGCAGTACAGGCAGCAAGGAGCCTGTCCCATTTTGCCATCAGACTCTCATTGTGCACAGGGCTTCCTTCCACAGGGGTGCAGGGGGCCTCTGGCTGCCAGCCTCTGCTCACACCCGGCCAACAATGACCCCAGCATGCACGTGAGCACACAAGCCCCCAGCCCTCTTCAGTGACAGAGGGACCAAGAAGGCAGACCCTGAGAAACTCCACCGTGGCCCGGGCCTGGGCCTCCCGGGGAGCTCCTCTCAGATGATGCCTGGCCCCAGGATGGCAGTGGTCCTTCCCCGGTGAGGTGGGCCCATCCCTCCGGCCAGTCCGTAAGCTGGTTCCTGGCTTCTATCCTTCCTGATTGCTGTGAGTAGCTACAAAGCGCGGAGGCCCCAGTCTGGGCACCAGTTAAGGACCCCTTCAGTGTTTTTCTTGGACCCAGCTTAAAGCCACCCGGCTTGCGATTTGACCTGCTCTGTAGTTTCCATTTTCCTGAAATATAATAGGCCTCCTCTGAACCCTTCTGGTAAGCAGCTTAATCTTGAAAAATGCTCCTGACGTGACATGCGGAGCCTGAGTAACTTCCGCAGACTCTGCCCAGGCCGCGTTGCCATAGCAACCCTGGCGCCTCTCCTGCCTGCTCCCCAGGAGAGGCGGCTCTGCCCTGCTCCCCTGCTCCAGTCACAAAGTTGAGTGGAGTAGTTAGAGCCTAATGATGCAGCAGCTGGACCTCAGCTGGACCTGGGCAGCATGGGCAGGCCGCCCATCCTCGCACCGCTCGGCTGGCGGCTCAGAGAGCCAGACTGTTTTGTGGCTACCCAAAGAGCAGCCCAGGAACCCGGGGGCCAATGTGATGGCTCGGTCCCAACTTTGCCTTCACATGCTGGCTGCTTCTAACTCAGCAAGTGCTGGAGGCTGCAGACACAGGCCCCGCCCAGGGTCAAACCTGCCGGAGTAATTCACTCTACATGTGTGTATGTGTGTGTGCAAGTGTGCGTGCATGTGTGTGTGTGTATGTATGTGTGTGTGTGTGTACTGGGGCCTGAACTCAGGGCCTGGGCACTGTTCCTGAGCTTCTTTTTTTTCATTCAAACTAGTGCTCTACCACTTGAGCCATAGCTTCATGCCTGGCTTTTTGGTGGTTAATTGCAAATAAGAGTCTCATAGAAGCCAGATACCAATGGCTCACACCTATAATTGAGGATCTAGATTCAAAACTAGCCTGGTAGCTCAAAGTGGTGGAGCACTAGCCTTGAGTGACAAAAGTCAGGGCCAGCACCAGGCCCTGAGTTCAAACCCCACAACAACAACAAAAAGTATCACAGACTGTTATGCCTAGGCTGGCTTCAAACTATGATCCTCAGATCTCAGCCTCCTGAGTAGCTAGGATTACAGGTGTGAGCAACCCATGCCTTGCTCACTGGCCAGGAAGTGATCAGGTGATTTAACCTGCATGGTATCAGCAAGAGATGGATTTAGAATCTGGGTGCCATTCACTCCAGAGCCAGCCTCTCGCTGCCAGCCCTGCTCCCACCCAGGCAGCTCTGGGTCAGACCCTGGAAGTCCTGAGGGTCTGGAACTGTCAGGTTCCACCTTCCCCCTGTCAGCCTGGTGTAGGACAGACAGAACCCTGTGCCTGGCAGGGACTCAGACCCAGGATCTCACAGACCAGGCACTCTGAGTTTCAGCCTAGGCTTCAGGGAACCTCTGGATAACTGTTAGTTGCCTGTGTAGTTGATTCCCTTCCTGCTGTCCATAGAAAAGCCAGTATTTACAAAGAAAGGTCTCCATCTTGGCAATTTTAGAAACACAACTAAAAGGCAGCCTTGATGTGTTCTTCACTGTTGACCTTGTGCTCTAAATACTGGGCTTTCCCTAACACCTTTTCTGGGGGCCATAGACTCCCTCACCTCCATGGCCACCCTGTAGGCAAAGTGGCCACCAAGGCCCCTGGTGACCGCTTGCGTGCCTCTGATCAGCATTCCAGCAAGGCAGAGGAAACTTCTTCCACAATTTTTTTTCCCCCTCTGTCAGCAGTAGAAGAGAGGTAAAGCTGACCAGCCCTGGTCACCTCTTCTGAGAGGTTTCAACCCTCCTGGACATGTGACCAGGCAGTGGTCCCCAGCTGACAGGCTGGTGCGATTCTTCCTCCAGCCTTGTTCGTGGCTGGACAGTCCACCTGCCAGCTCCCTGCTGTGGAAGGGGTGGCTTGAGGCTTCACATCTGCCGTGCTAGAAAGTGGATATGAGGGTCTGCTTTCCAGCCATTGACCTGCTCTGTTCTTTCAGATGCAGCCCTTTGACCTCCTGGGAATCACCATCAAATCCCTAGCAGAAATTGAAAAAGAGGTAAGTAAGCCACCAGGAGTGGGGATGGGTAGGCCCGGGCCATTGCTCAATCATCAGCCCCTCGCCCCAATCCTCACCCCCCATCGGGAGGCTGTGCCAGGAATGGCAGGGACAGGGTGCCCTTTAGAGAAGGGTAGAAAAAAAAACTGTTCATTTCACTTATGTATTGCTTAAGAAAAGTACCTGACTGTTCACACACTCCTTGCTTCCAGTGGAACATGACCGGCACCTTATCTCTGGTCACAAAGCTGGGAGGGTCAGCAAAGGAGGCTGAGGGACAAGGCACAGAGCATTGTCTTTCTTCCCCTTTTCTGTTCTAGTGATTGCTACAAGTGGATCTTGGGGGCTTTGAATGTCTTGTGCATGGAGACACCCCCCCTACCTCCCCGCATTGGGTGGCCTGATTTTTTTGAGCATGCTGGGACATTTGCCTGCTACAAAGCAAGGCCGTGCAGTATCAAAGTTGGAGGTGGGGAGGGGGTGTGAGGGGGGTAGGGAGGGCAGCCAGGCCCCTCTGCTCCGGAAGAGCCAGTCATCTTCCGTATATGGGAGGCTGTTACGTGCCAGTCCCAGCTCTCCTCAGAGAGGAACATCTGTCTCAAAGATGGAAATGGTAGAACCATTTCAATATTCTCAGATCCTTGGGGTTTTCTCTTGTTGTACCCAGCTAGCACAAGCAGGTTGCATTATTGAAAGATGGCTGAAATCAAGGGAAATTGAATCAATGTACTATCACAAATTTCCAAACCTGTCAGGGCAAAAAGCAAGACCAAAGCCACACATGCGCGTACACACACACACACACACACACACACACACACACACACACACACCCTTTGTCTTTGATTTTCAGTAAATCATAAAAACTGGATTGTCATCTATGCATACTTCGTTTCCTTTTTCTTTTTCTTTTTTGTTTGGTTTTGTTTTCTGGTATCTTACCTACCACATTAGAAAAATAGACATGCATAGAATATCATGCCTGTCCTTCATAAAAGAAAGGTAGCTATGGATGGTTCTAGGGGCCCCTGTTTGTGAATGCAGTCTTTTTTGTTGTTGTTGTTGGTCATGGGACTTGAACTCTAGGCCTGGGCACTATCCTTGAGCTCTTCAGCTCAAGTTCTCTACCACTTGAGCCACAGTACCACTTCTGGTTTTTTGGTAGTTAATTGGAGATAAGAGTCTCATGGACTTTCCTACACAGGCTGGCTTTGAACTGTGATCCTCAGATCTCAGCCTCCTGAGTAGCTGGGATTATAGGTATGAGCCACAGGTGCCCTATGAACGCAGCCTTTTTTAAGTAGGCGGTCAGGCAGACCTGGTTTCATTAAAGACAGACCACAGATAGACAGACACTTGAACCAGCCCCTAGGGGGACCAACCCCCTAGCAGGGGTCCAGGTCATCTCCCTTTTCCTTTAAGGCAGGATAACCTTGGGACTTGTTCCAGAGGGGTGCTGGGTAGATGCTGGCAGCAGCATGTGGCCCACTCTGAGGCGGGGGGGCTGGGTGTACCACAGAGAGGGCAGCGACCCCAGTACCAAGCTTTCTTCCCTGTGGGTCTCCACAACACCAGCTACGTGCACATCTCTGTGTTTTGTGGGCCTCATTGCTACCAACCAAACTGCCTCATCCCCCAACCCCCTTGATGGGCAGAAATTCAGCTCCAAGAAGTAAAATCCAAGACAAGGCTGAGACTGATCCTCTCCTTATGGGTGAAAATCCATGGGATCACGTTCCTCCAAGTAGATCCTCCAGACAGGTGGGGACCGTGGGCACGGGAGGCCTGCATACCAGCCTCAGCTGAGCCTTTGCTCAGCTGAGTGAGGCGTCTGTGGAGGCCCAGGGTACCTGGGACCCGCTCCCTTCTTGCTCTAGGGACTGAGATCTGATCCCACGTGCAACATCGGGCACTTGGAGTGCCCATGGCACAACTTTCTTTTGAGGATGAGGACCATGCACTGTCTCACTGTTGAAGCAGTTGAGGTTGCCACTGGTTGTGGGGGTGAGTGGGTGAGGGCACACAGCTGGACTCTAGGAGGGTGATGTGGGGCTTTCACTTAATCGAGGATGTCAAGGGTCGCCAAGCCCACCATGGTGGTCATCTCAGGGAGTTGTATGTTCCATCTGGCTCTGCCTCTGCACAGCTCACCCGGGTTTCTGAGTGTCTCGTGCACCAGCCCAGCCGCACCTTCCCCCTCCTTCAGTGCCCGGCTCGGAAGCCCAGCCAGGGCCTTGCCTGCTGCCCACAGCTTGACCCTCACGTCTCCCGGAGCAGGTGGGGTGTCTCCCGGAGCAGGTGGGTGTCTCCTGGAGCTGCTTAGGGTCCCCCAGATCTAGCCGGGCTCTCTCAGAAGGTAGAGTTGCCTCTGGAATAGGAGTTGTTTTGTTGTTGTTGCTGTTGTTGTTTTCCTTTCGTTATTCCCAGCAAGCCGGCTGCTCTTGGGAATTGGCTTTGCTCTCTGAAAGTGTTTGCGTGTTATACCAGTTAGCTAAAACCAAAACTATAAATAAAATAGGCTAAGTAAAGGTGAGAGACTGCCCTCAGATTCAGGGTAGACTTTGTCCCCTGGTCTGTCCAGCACTTCCCAGGACCCCCACGCAGGGCCTGGGCTGGGCAGCGTGGAAATGCCGCCCCTCCCCCCCCCACACACACACACATCACTCAGGAAGCCAAGTGACCTGAGCAATCCCTGCACTCAGTTACGGGAATCAAGCGCCTATCCCTGGAGGTAGCACCCAGCCTGACCAAGTGGGTGCTTCCCTGCCAGCCTGCCCGGTGCTTCTGAACTTAAGCCAGAGCCCTGCTGCCCTATCTTGACCTGAGGAGACAGTCACCTCATGAAGGAGCCCCAGAGATGGAGCATGAGTCTCATAAATACCAGCACCCAAGAAGCACAGGTCGCTGCCAGTACAGCCGCCGGGCACTAGAGGGCAGCAAAGGGACCAGTGTCCCTGAGTTTAGGTAAGAAGGCCTTGCGCCCCGGGTCCTTGACCCCTGGGAGGCTGCGGAGCTCAAGGCAGAACAGGACTTAGTCCTCACAGCTGCAGACACAGAAAGCAGGTGGGGAACACACCGGACAGCACCCCAATACTGAGCAAGGCCGGGTGATTTGTGGACAGCACACAGATCTGGCTACATCCAAATCTACCCTGAGATTTGACCGTGGGCAGGACCCATGGCCTGCTGGGCCTCAAGCTGGGATGCAGGCCTGGTGGTGCCACCCACCAGCACCCATGTCCCTGTACACGGCACGGTGGCACGAAGCCTGGGCCCGGGGCTGCGGCTGCCGCCTGCACAGGGACTCCTCACTTACATTGCTTTTATTTTTTCTTCTTTTTTTTTCTTTTGCCAGTCGTGGGGCTTGAACTCTGGGCCTGGGCGCTGTCCCTCAGCTTCTTTTGCTCAAGGCTAGCACTCTACCACTTGAGCCACAGCACCACGTCTGTTTTTTTTCTGTAATTAATTGCAGATAAGAGTCTCATGGACTTTCCCGTCTGGGCTGGCTTCAAGCCATGATCTTCAGCTCTCAGCCTCCTGAGTAGCTGGGATTGTACAGGCGTGAGCCACTGACGCCTGGCTTTCATATTTCATAACATACGCGGACAAGGTCATGTTTGAAAGTTAAAATCAATATACATGCCAGAGAGATTTTTGCAAAGAAGCAACAACTATATATGTGTGTACGTGTATATATGTGTGTGTATGTGTATGTGTGTGTGTGTGCATATATTTATATATACATTCAGAAAGCTGAGGCCTCTCTCAGCTCCTGCCTGGGCTGTGATGTAAGAAGAAAATGAAGGAAGGCCTAAGAAAGTTAAACACAAAAGCTATTGCTCTTCTTCCGGCTCCTACTGGCATCCTGAAGTCTCCTGTCTTACCAGGTTCTCCTGAGCCCCTCCCTCTACTTCCCTGCTGCTTCAGGGGTGCAGGCGTCCTACCAGGCAATCAGGAGCCCCATGACAACCCAGAAGGCCTTCTGGCCTGTCCCTCCTGCCCCTGTGGGCCCAGCAGTTTGGGGGGAGGATGGGGCTGGGGGCTGGGGGGCTGGGGTCCAGTGATACCCTCATTGTTCTCTGGCTGCTCAGCCAGAGCTGCCATGGGGAGTCAGGACCAGCAGGGACAAAGCATGACAAGACAGACAAACATCCCCCAGCCAATGGAGTCTTTCTATCACCCAGGCTGACGGCTCTTGGCGCTCAGGCCAGGCACAGCCTTGCAACGATTCCCTCTCCCTGTCCATCGCCTGTGCCCCGCCCTGGCTCCTTTCCTGCTGCCAGGTCCATGGAGCGCCAGGAGGCAGGGCCCGGGTAGTGCATTCTGTGCAAAGCCTGCAAGCAAAACCTGCAAGCCTTCTAAATGAGGAGCAGCAACCTCAGAGCCCACAGGGCACAGGGCGGCTGGGAAATCTGTGCCTCCCACCTCCAGCGCCACGCAAAGCCAGTTCCAACCTGCCCAGCTGGGCCCCGGACCACGGGGCCCACACGGGGCCCGCGTGGTGAGAAGCCCGCTCATTAGCCTACCTCGCTTCCTGGTGGAGTAGACAGCCTCCATTTTCATTGAACTTGAAAGCTGAAAGACGAGGGAGAGTCTAATTAGTAAAGGGACGATCTATTATTAATCAGTCCCTTAAAATTGACAAGGGAGGCAGTTCATTTAACCACTTAATTGCTACAGGTTTTTATGGGCTGCTTGCTATTTGCAGACATATTTAATGAAGAAGTTATAAATCTGAGGGAGCTTAAAATTTTAATTTTATACCTAAATATTTTCCTTGTTCTCGTGTTTGCAGTCAGGCCTCAGGAGTGCAGTCACGTGCCATGTTCTTTAAATGAACATATTTGCTAACTGGCGTGATTTCAGTTTTTAAAACATTGGTTCCAGCAATTAGGCTTTTTTTTTCCCAGTTCCCAAATGACTAGAGAAATTCGTCTTGATTATAATTGCTCTTAGCCACGCATATCTAATTTGTGTCTTTTTAAGTGTTAATTAGTAAA